GGAGGGCTGGGGGAAATTGGTTGTGTCACCACCCAAGACGCATAACTTAACGTCGTGCCACATATGAATCAATCTCTCACTTTTTCACGAGAGGTGAGCTTGGGACGCCTGTGGTGTCACAGAGAGATTTTCCTGACCCCCCCCTCAATTTTCTATAGTTCCCCCTTCATACTCTGTTAGTGATGAATGAACCCCCTCGTTTCAATTCCCCCCCCCCCCCGCATGAAAAAGTCACTTCGGAAGTGATCAGACTAAGTTCAGGACAACTACAGACTGAGCTGTTCTGCAGTATGCTGTTCAATAACCGCATTTTAATGTCCCCAAGTATTTGAGTTAATTGTCCTGTTAGACCACAGTTTTACGTGCCTTTTAGTGCTTCCATGACACTAGTTTAACGGCCCCGTCCCCTCCCTTACTGAAAAAGGTATATATCTACCCCTTTCACCAACACTGCGGTGAGTAATTGTTTAACTATATACCACACAAATATGAAAAAATAGTTTATTTCTTTCAATATACCGAAAAATGGTCGAAAATCAAACTCTATATATCTGAGTTTAATTCGTTGGTGAAAATTATTGGATAAAACTTGTATTTTTCGGCACGATCTGTTATTCCTTTCACCTCCAAGAAGTAAATAGTGATTGTGTGTACTGTTTGCCATTCATCACTTAAAAAAAATTTCAGATCTAAGGATTTGATGGTCATTCAAAAGATGTCTCCCGGTTGATCATCTTCTCGTTTCTCATCACTTTCTACTTGAAAATATACGGGTGGTGTGAGGAGAAATTCGTGTTTGATCGCTCCAGGGAGTAGCTCGTCAGAGGGTTAAATTAGGGGCTTTTTTGTCAAATTGCCCCGCGAAATGCTTTTCACCCAAGTTTTGCAGATGTTCAATTCGCTAAATTTGTAATGAAACCCTAGTTATCTCCAAAATGAAAACACCATAACTTATTAAATATGTAAAGTCCATTTAATCACATCGAAAGGTTGAAAAGAGTGCTGCAGAGTCCATGCGATGTTTCTTTCAAATGAAAAAAAATATTGTTCTGAACACCAGGATATCTTAAAACACTTTTTCATTGTTGCGAATGACTCCAAGGATGTGGTACACGGCATTGCAATTTCTTAGTTTAATTTGCAATTTATATGCGCAATGCTTTTTTGAACCTATTAATGACCTCCAAAATTTTTCGCTATCCAGTTTTCTTCTTGAATTAGTTGTGTTGAGATAAACGTTTTGAACGGTCAAAGAAAATTTTCTTTAAGTCTGTAAATAACTTAGGTCGTGGCATCCGGCGGGGTACTTTTCTTTTTTTAAAAAAGTCGTTTCAAGTTAAAACCTTTTATAATTTTAATATCGACTGATATTACATTCTTTCATGATTAAAGTTTTATTTTTAGATGCTCGAGATAAGAAGTGGTTTTAGGAAGTCGAAATTCTAAAAAACTGCTCCTTGCTCTAACCTGATAGACAAAAATCGAGGTAATCAACATGCAAAATTACAGAACCGACAAAAAGCTGTATTTCTTCTTTTGTAAACGCAAGAGTATCTGGATAACGATAAAAACAAAGCTAATCTAGCTTTAATGCTCTTCTCGAAGTAAAGCATAGTTACGTAACCAATTTTCTATGACTTGAAATTGTGGTTCTGAATCATAGCGGTCTTGAAGTAGTTAATTGTCCTTGTACATATATGTGATTGGCGTGGAGTCGAACAGAACGATAATTTCAGTGGTTGATAATTAGTAAAACTGAGGTGATATAAGACCAAGAGGTTGATAACAAAGAAAACAAGTGCCTTTTAAGACTCGATTTTCAGTTTGCAAAGATCAAGAGCAAAGCAACAAAGAAAACTGTTTGGAATAATTCTTAAAACACTACGAGTTTAGCCGACAAGAAAGAGTTAAATAAAAATGTCTGTTAAAATCCCCCTGAAGGTTTCAAAGGCATATCTTTGCTAGGGAAGGAATGACCTCGTTACTCATCTAAAAACAGTCACTTCAACCTCTGGAAAAGCCACTCATTCGTGAAAGCAACAAATTATTGAAGCAGTTACCTTTTAGAATAGCCAGCGCGTCGAAAGCTGATTGTCCAACTGCTCAAGAAGAAGAGTACAATTTTGTGTTCATCGAGCTTGGCTAGAATGAGGATCCCGACAAATTGATGCGGTGTTTCATGCATTACCCATTCACCTCCGAAGTGATGTGACATTATCATTTAAATGAACAATTTCTTTCAAAACGTTCCTTCCGCCCGCGGCGAAAAAAAATGTCAGATAATGTCGGATAATATCGAAATTTTGCGCGCAATTCGACCTCCAGTGTTTAAAAATTGTTGAACCTCCAGTGTTTAAAAATTGTTTCAAATTGACCTAAGTTTATTCACAATGTAAGGTTAATTCACTCAGTTGGCTGTTTTCTTACGAGGCCTCAACAAACAAAACTGATGAATAATAAAATTTTTGTATATTTTGGAACTAAGATCTTTAATATATGCCATAAATTCAGACACCTAGCGGCATACTACATATGTAACGAGTCTCGAGTTCACAAATTTTCTGGAGGCTTCCATTGTTAAAAACGCACACACACACACAAACACACACACAAACACACACACAAACGCACACTCACGCACACGCACACACACACACATAAACACACACACACAAGCAATACGTATTTCAAAAATGGCGAGGTTCGCCAAAGGTGTTCAAATTTACACACGGCGTTATTGGTCTGATTAACAAATATAAAAGCAGGGATATTTTAGTTACCGTTCTCCAGTTCCTGAAAATTTCGCTGTGAGTCAAGATTCTTTGATCGAAACCAGGGAGCTTTTTCCCATGAATTTTACCGACAATTGTGCCAACTTTCTCCCTTTCAATCTTTAGTTTATTCATGATTAAGGAATTAAATTTGATCAACATTGATATGTAAGATTTTTCTCTAATAACGGATCTATGTTGCCTAATGTCGCAACAACCTTGGATCGTTTTCTGAGATATTGTGAAGGAGCTGGCCAAACAAGCGCAACATCTTGAACAACCCAAAAGGTTGCAACAAACACTCGATCATTATTTCAAGCTTGACCCAACGTCTTGCAACATGTTTTCCACAGGGTGGCCAAACGTGTGCAAGATCTTTCACACAACAATGTTGAGTGGAAATGTTGCGTGCGTTTAGCGGGATTTTAAGTCTATCCCCCCATCCCCACCCCCTGGGGTGCTCCTGCAAAATTTTGGCCGGGAATGTTGCAGCTGCTATTTGAAACTATATCTCAGACTTGAATAAGATTTTATAGCAAAACCTGTTACAAACCTAAACAAAATGAAAAATTAATGACGTTTGTCAGCCGCAATATCATACTACACTGCATCGATAACCTGAAAGTTCTGACAGTTTACACGATATACGTTTGGAGAAAGGATTTCTAGTTTGAATAATGTCTATCTATACATCTAACTCAGAGATCGCGCAACTTGATGCTTTGGCCCCGATTTCGCTAGAAGTGTGCGCGTATATATATCTTACGATCTGACTTTGATTGTACGCATCCTCGACTGAATAACTCAGTTTGTAAGTGTAAAGTAACACAAAAGGAAGACACAAAACCAATCAGTTTTAATTTAAAGCCGCATTATAATAGAGCATGACACAATAGTCCACTTTACAGTTGTGTGCTTGGTTGCCAAGCCTTTGAATGGGAGTGAGGCTAGGGTTGATCTTGTTATGATACAAACCTTGCTGCCTTTCAAATGTAAATCACTTTGTTATCATGCTAAGTAGATACAGGTCTCTTTCACAACAAGGTCACCTTCAGCCTCACTCTGAATCAAAGGCTTGGCAACTAAGTACACAATTGTAAAATGGCCTATTACCTGAAATGCTGCACCTTGCAAGCTCTGTTTAACCAGCGCGTGGTTTCATCAGCGTGCCTGGCAAAAAAATCAATTCGATTATACAAATAGGTGTGCACAATTGCTCTCTTTAGAAATTTCTTATGTATTTGTGGTGAGTTGTTCTACATTGAAGGAATTAACGCGGAATTTGCGGTTTATGTTTGTCTTCTGATAACTGTAGTGAACGTTAGTCCCTGTACAATAAAAGTATTGATACTCGTGGACAGCTCATGTCCGCGGAAAATGGACAATGCAAACGCGAAGTGTTCGTACACAGTGTGGATTCCTCTATTCATCATGAAAAGCTGACAAGATCTACCTCGTCCCTCAGACCTCGTTTTCCGTTTACATTACATCTACAAAGTACTGTATGACTCTGAAAACAACAGAGTTTGCCAAAGCTGATGTACCCGGCCGTAATTTTTCCTTCCAAAAGTAAAACCTGCCCCAATTTTTAAAACAACAACGAATGCCTCTTCGTTTCTGCGGAGAAAAAGACTCCTGTTAGACGGGAACAGGTAGCGCATGCGTGAGTTTTTAATTTCTTTCCAAGATGGCGGCACCGTCAACGGAAGTTTACGGAAAAGGAAAAAATATTTCTTCTTCTCTTTTATGCGTTATCATTCTAGATTGAACAATAAGTGTCTGGCTGTCAATTTAGCAAAGTCAAAATTAGATTATTTTTGTTGAGTGCATCCTAATTATCGATTAACATTTCCGAGGAGAAAATACTTCTTTCTTTGCGACTTGTCCCTTTCGAAACATTTTCTCTTTAGAAGTTTGCCGATAAAAATCTCCGATGGAATGTTTCTGATATGCGATGTTTTAAGCGGTATCTATGAACTCTGATCGTAAACAAAGGATTACCACGAGATAAACAACAAACAAATTGAATCGGTCTTTGCAAATACCGATTATTCACAATTCAGTCGGTGTCTTTGAGAGAAGCTTTGCGGCGTGTGGGCGGGTTTATCAAAGCAAACAGCGAAGTAGGCGGCAAATTTAAAACAGCCTGCTTCGAAAGCAACAAGCTCAAAGCAAATTAGTTTCTAATCGAGCAACATATAGGCAGAGTTAAGGTCAAGGTTAAGCAGAATGAAGGAAGAAGAAGATGGCACTCCATGGAAGGAGAATCATGAAGACTTGAAGGATTCGTTGCTGTCTGTTAACTCGTCTGGAAACAAAGCCACGGTGTTAAACAAACCATCTTCGGACGTGAGCAATTCACCTGAGAAGAATTTTGATGAAAATTCTCAAGTTGAAACAAGTCGCAGCGACGAGAAAGGTGCGTTTTCTTAGTCAAACTAAGTTTTCTTTCTCTAATTCCTTAAGTCCTAGAATACTGGCGCAATCATAGATGCTGGTGACAGTAAAGCCTTTTTTGTTTGTAACTCAGAACGATTTGAAATAGTTTCATTGATACAAGGATAGAATCCTAAAATACAAAAAAATATCACCGTGCAACAATTTTGTTTCAAAGTTGCATAGACAAAACTTCTGGATTCAATAGAAGCTAAACTCAATCATGACTTTGCATTCTTGATTAATGCGTTTTTTTCTCAGTGAATTAATAACAGTTATGCCTAACTTACTCACGAATGAAAAGAAACATTTTTCGATAGTTTCCCACTCTGAGAGCGAATACAATTATCAAGTAAAAGTCTCCATAAGCGAACCTGATAGGAGCGAACATTTGGGGCTAAATTTTTTTTTTTAATTATATTTCTACTGATTTCACACTTCCTAAAATTCAAAATAGATTTTACTGACATTTGCTACAGTTTTTCATTTGCAATTGTTTGTTGAAACATATGCGTGCAATGTCCCCCCTTGCAAGTGCACGTATTTCGAGCTGATTGTGAACACTTCAAGTTTGTAGATTTAAAGGGGGTAAGTCTCTAAAGAAATTGTGGTGACGTGTAGGAGGGCTAAAGATCGGAACGTCAGCTTTAAATAACTGTTTACGGTGGCCAATTTACATTATCGATTCAGTTGATAAAACCGAATTATCTTGTAGATTCAAAGTTTGGTGTGTTTTAATCGTTCAGATGCCGCTAAAGAATTTGAAAATAAATACCCCACGCGATCCAGCAGATCCCGTTCTTCGTTCTCAGTGGAGCAGGTGTTGCAATTAGAACGAGTTTTTGATCGACAGAAATATCTGGGTTCTAGAGACAGGCAAAGACTCGCAGCACAGCTGCAGATGAGCGAGACACAGGTATGAAAATGTTTCTAGTTTTCTGTTCTAAAAGACCAATCAAGTGGTCACCTTTCATTGCGCACGCACGTATTGGAAAATGTATTTCATTCTAAGACGCCATGGTTTCTAAGCATAACATCAAAGGTCGAGTGTTATGTGGTTTTTAATTCTCGCGCGATAGAAAACACTTCATCATCACAATTTGACTAATTATCAGTTGAGTGTCAAAGTAATCCTGAATTGCTTAAGTTTTGCTTTACTTCGCTCTGGAGTTGGTCGTGGAACGTCGCGCGTAACTTCACAACTGAAAGCAGATATCTGATCATTTAACACTTTTTTTCTGCGAATTTTAAACAGCGAGACTGTTTTCCCTCCCCACGTACAGGTAAAGACCTGGTTCCAAAACAGACGAATGAAACAAAAGAAGAAACGAGCTGAGGACGTCGAACGCAGAACCAAACTATCATTCCTGAGGAACCTGGCCTATTCCATGCAACATGGTTTCCATAGTTACCCACCTGACTGCGACTGCCGTCCCCCCACCTATCCCGACACTCCTTTGGTGTTGAGAACTGAGCTGCCATCAAAGTACGCATGTCCTTCCGCCTCGCCTTGGAGTAACTTTCCTTATTATCCACCGCCGCCATATTGGGGAAGGTACCCAATACCATATTAACCATCACCAGGGCCCCTAGTTAATTTGGTTCCTTTTCTTGAGGTGCAATTGTTTTCTAGGCGGCCTCCTATTGTGGGACTGATTGAATTGCAGTAGGTTTTGAGTTTTTTGAGACGAAAACATTTTTTTTTCTTGTTTTGTTTTTGGTTAGCCATTTGTGCACTTTTAACGTTGTCAACAGCTACAAGTTGCATTGCTACAGACTATTTGCGCTTAGTAAAGTTCTGCAAACGAGATGAAATTTGACTGCAAGGGTAGTAAAATGGTAAAAAAGATTAAAATCAAGTAAAGTTCTGCCACTTGTCCGGAATTGCTTGCATATCATTACATTTGTCACTTCAGCTTGCGGAGGAAAAAAAAAGCGTATTTCATATATTTTCTATCATAATTCACTGGTAGGTAATATGGCTTATCATTGGCCAGTATATAAATAAAACTTGTCGTTATTACTAACTGCATTCGCTTGCCTGTTTACTGCCTAAAAACAAAACTCACGGTAAGGGTGTGGGCCAAGCAAAATATCCAGCTCCCCAATAATGAATCAAATCCCATACATTCGGACGCTGTCCGATGCTGTATCGCTAGGCTATATCGACGGTGAGCTAAATCATTTGATTCCTCTGCTACAAGCAAACGTACATCTGAGATCGACTATGAGAAAACTGGGTGTAAATTGAATGAAGGTTTACATTTAAACTTGGTATATGAGCGTTGTAGTGGGTTTCAGAAATAAGAATGTTTCCTCTAGTGTTTATTTTTGACTCGCTAAATACGGAAGTTGTGAAGGAAGTACCTCTGTCCAGCTTCTGGGTGAATCTAAGTACCTTTAAAAAGCAAATTGAAAAGAATAGTCTATTTTATCGTGACCCGTCCGGACCAATAGAAAAGCATAGTAAAAGTTGACGTGTGTAGTGCTGAACGGGTAGACGTGGGCCGGTCCACAAAGAGCCGTCCGACCCTGCACCTGGCTTTGTGCCCCTGAGATCAAACTTTTCGCACATAATTTTTTCATTTTCGTGTTCAATATGTCTCCTTCAGCTACTCTGCCAAATTTCAGTCTAGACCGAGCACCAGAAATATCTTTTTTCGGGCCGTTAAATTCGAGATTTTGCGTCCGCCATTATTTGACCATGTTCCGGAAGTTGATCGCAGGACTCAGAGGAAGTGACGTCAAAGGCTCAACGCGAAAATCTCACATGGCGAAATGTCAAGCAAACATAACAGAGTGCTTTACGCTATTCTTACAAGTGTTAAACAAGCCCAAAAGAAAATGGTCAATTTTCGTCTCAGGGGCACTTTAAAAGAGAAAAGAAAAGCGTACAAAAAACGTCACGTTTTTCGATGAAATGTGAGTTTGTTGTCCTGACTCAAAAAAAGTTCTATGTAGGTTGAAACAAAAATTTTTCGAAGTTTTCAACTCTTGGCGGTCATATGATGAAATGTTCATTGACTGAGTTTGGTCGAGCCGGACCGGAAAAATATGGCCCTCAGTCATGAGGCACGCTATGACCTCAAGCCAAGTACTTTCTCGTGCGGCCCCGCCACTCAAAAAACATTCTTAAAGAGGAAGCTCGTGCAACACATGTGTAACACCCTCAATCTCCTTTTATTTAAACTTATATGGTTAATATTTCTATTCTCGAAAAAATATATCGAACAAGTATTACAAAACATTCTCTGTAAAGCCACAGCACAAATGATTGGTAACGAAACATCTGATGAATGATACTGCGTGACAACCAAACTGTTTTCTTTGTAATGACATTAATTCTTTTATCTTTTAAGTACATTTTCTTCGATTTATGAAGTGACTTCAACATTAGATCATTATCTCTTTAACTCTCTTGCAACCCTTCAACGGCATCACGTGGCCACGTACTACGCTGGAAGTCGAGTGGGAGAAAACGTACGTGTCCAACGCGTGATTGGTTTTGGTTTTGTAGCTGATTAGAAGAGCATCGAGAGTATTTAGCCAATCAGGTTACTACTATAAAAAGTAAAACTAAGGTAATATTATTTGATCATTGACTCAATTGAGAAATTAGACGTTTTCTCTTACATAAATATTCTGTGAAGATTCTGAATGTTTGATTACGAAATACATGTTGATTCATTACGCATCACGTGAAATACCCGTGGCCTAACACCTCAGCGTGCATCTGTACTTTCTAATTCATGACGTGCTTTGTGGGCGATGCGCTTGTGAATGAAGAATTGCATCACATTTGATCAGTATCTTTGTAGCATATTATCTTCAAGGGTTGGGCTGTCCCGGGGGGTCGTTTGCTCACTGTTAGGGGGGGAAGTGAGGTTCTTGCAGCAGTAGTAATGAAGTATTTCGCCCGTGGGGTAATATGCAAAGGCACTGGAAAAAAGAAAGAGAAAAGAAGTTACGTATGATGCACGATCCTCGCAGTAGAGAGCGCTATTTATGCAATAGCGAAAATCAGACCTGAAAAAAATCAGGCCTGTACGGGA